GATTTTTGGGCCCCGTTATCAACTTTGTCCACATTGAGGTCAAAAGGGTCCAAAATTAAACTTTGTTTGATTTCATCAAAAATTGAATTCTTGGGGTTCTTTGATATGCTGAATCTAACCATGTATTTAGATTTTGGATATTGGACCATAATAGGTGAATGTCTAATTGAAAATTTTAAGTTCTTAGACCACATTCATTCTGTGTCAGAAACCTATGCTGTGTCAAATATTTAATCACAATCCAAATGCAAAGCTGTATCAGCTTGAAAGTTGTGTCCATACTTGCCCCAACTGTTCAGGGTTCGACCTCTGCGGTCGTATCAAGCTGAGCCCTGCGGAGCATTTTATTTCTTAATTGAATTTATTAAGACTTTTTAAATATATGTATTCCTTTTTAGCAACTATATTGGGATCGAATTTAATGAGGTTCATATTTCAGTATGCCTAAACTGGAAAAATATATAAGTTGCAGATCAATCAGACTTGGTTAAGATGTGATATGTCTTCAAAATTAATCGCCGAATACAGTTGAATAACAGAACACAGTTCCAATATGTCCCACGCGTTGCACATATTTTATCTATCCAAGGTACAAGGGCAAATATAAAACTTTTTATAAACATCTTAGAGAAATGATGCTTCAGAACAAATGCAATGCGATTTCTGTTATAATTAATATTTCCAAGGGGCATAACTTGTTAAAAATATTTGATCAGCACTTATTTTCAAAAGTGTCAAAGGCATTGCTGATATAAACCTATGATATAAGTTTCATAAAATTCAGGCAAGAATTGTACACATGAGAGCGCTAACGATGCAATTTTATGTATAATTAATGTTTCCAACGGGCATAACTCTTTTAAAAATCAAAGCACCAAGGGCGCTATAGGCAGTTAATTAAAAAACCAAAGTCAAACTTGACAGAATTTAAGCTGAATATTGTGGAAGAATTGGTGAAAATATTTATCTCAGCTATTTCTCAAGTATCAAATAATGTTTGTACCGTAATGTTTCCGCTATCCAATCCTACCACTTTCAAAAGATATTTCCAATTTATTTTTTAAAGATTCAATGTCCGCGATTATGCACATACACTGTCCCATGTTAGGGGAGAGTTTTGTGCCAGCTAACATGTTTAACCCGCCACATTCTATATGTACCTGTCCATAGTAAGGACCCAGTAATTTGGTGATTGTTGATTGTTGCTGTATATCATATTTATTTTTCATAATTGATTTGTACATAAATCAGGCTGCTTTAGTTTTATTGTTTTACATTTGTCATTTCGTGGCTGTTTATAGCTGACTATGCAGTATAGGTTTTGCTAATTGTTGCGGGCTGCATGGAGGAATATTCTAAATTTCTTATCAGAATAATAATTTCAATAATGGTGTCCAACAGTGGTGTATGGTTTAATTCCACTATATACTAGAGTTTAAATATGCCATATGAGCGGTTTTAGTTGGATCAGCTGGTGCCACTATGCACAATTATCAAATCATACCTGAAACTACCGTATAGCGGGTTATTTTCTCCGGGTGTTTATTTTCGCTTATTTTGGCGGATAAACGAAAATCGTGAAAATAAATTCGGCTAAAATTTATGCATACGTTGGGTAGTTTCGAAGTTAACATGGCTAAAGGATTTTGTAAACCATCTATTTTTTTCCTGTCGGCAGGTCAATAACGAATTATGTTATTTTTAACAAGATACATTGTAAATGCCAAAGGGCATTGTACATAAATGTATTTTATAAAATGACTATACCCTTATCAATAAGTGTCAATTAGAATAAGAGTGCAAGGTACTCTTATCAGGTAATAACCCTTATTAATAAGGGTCAAACTATATAAGAGTTGTAAACACTCATGATAATTTTGTAACCTAATTAGTAAGTACATCAAAGGTCTGGTAAATTTCGTAACTATTCAATCGTAAAATTTACAAGAGTTTGAATACCTGTAAAAAATAGTTAAGTTAGCGGTATTTTAATGATTAACTGTATCAGAATTTAATTAATGAATAAGAGGTCATTCCAGTAAAAATAAACTGCTTCGCTGAGCGCAGCTGGATACGCCCGCAGAGGTCCAACCCTGAACAGTTGGGGCAAAAATGGACACAATATTCAAGCTTGATACAGGTCTGAATTTGGATTGTATTAAATATTTGACATATTATAGGTTTCTGAATAAATGTAGTCAAAAAAACTTGAAATTGGTTATATGAATTGAATTTATATTCAATTAAAGATTTCTTGCTGTTGTGCAATACACTGTGCTGTTGCGCAATACTTAGTAAATCTGTATAGTTTACAGACTATAAACAATTAAAGTTCAATTCATTCTCAATGTCATATTAGAAATTTATTAAAATGTAAAGGGAGCTTACATCAATAGATATAAATAATTCACCAAAGTTTCATGAGAATTGCTGACAGCATTTTTGAGTTATTGTCAGAAAACTGGAAAATCCCCCCTTTTTTAATGAATAAAACCCCATAACTCAGAAATGTAAAATGTAAAATGTAAAATTTATAAAATTCTAAACGGAGCTTACATCAATAGATATAAACAATTCACCTAGGTTTCATAAGAACTGCTGAAAGCATGTTTGATTTTTTGTCCGAAAACTGGAAAATCCCCTTTTTTTATGAATAAAACCCTGTAACTCGGAAACGTAAAATCTAAAATATATAAAAATCGAAAGGGAGCTCTTGTCAATAGATATAAACAATTCACCACAATTTCTTGCAAGTTGGTGAAAGCATTCTTGAGTTATTGTCCGAAAACTGGAAAATCCCCCTTTTTTTAATGAATAAAACCCCATAACTCGGAAACGTATAATCTAAAATTTATAAAAAACGAAAGGGAGCTCACGTCAATAGATATAAACAATTCACCAAAGTTTTATGCAAATTGGTTAAAGCGTTTTTGAGTTAATATCCGACATGTTGACGACGGACGGACAGACGGACAACGGTATACCATAATACGTCCCGTAAACGGGCGTATAAAAAGAATCAATTAACCATAACAATAGACACTTTGTCAAGTTTTATAACTTTTTAACTGAAACAATTTCAGTATTCACCAAAATATTTAATTGGGATTTAAGAATCCACCAAAATGAAAACCGCCAAAATTTTTTCGTATACTTTGTTGCCCCTAAATCGGGAAATTTTACACCTGTGATAATAACCCGCTATACTGTATCTGAAGTGGTGTAATTTTCTTGTATATTGTATTACAATAAATGCTGATGTTGTTATAATGGCCTAGCAATGATGCAACATATATTTTTGAAGGCTGTACAGTTGCCTATAATTGCTTACATCCACTTCATTTGAATTTTGATGGATAGTTGTCTCATTGGCAATCATACCACATCTTCTTTTATAATAACTGTACATGTCTAATCTATAATAAGCTGTTAACACAGAGACATGTTTTGCCTAATTGTTATTTTGATAATGCAAATGTTACCAGGGCCGTAAATTACATGGAGGCATGTAGGCAATTGCCTTCTATTGCGGGCTGACAAAAAAAATAAAAATTTGAAAAAAAAAATGGTTAAAATTATTTTAATTTGATTTCATGTATGATCAAGACGAAGGTTCATTCAGCAAGAAAAAACGACTACTGCAAACACTAGCAGAAACTCGATGGACATCACGAACTGATACATTAACTTGGCTGTTGAAACACAATGACAAGGTGCTTGACATTCTTGATGAAATTCAAAACCAAACCGTCGGCAACTAAGATGCTATACATCTTACAAAATGAAACATCTTAACTTTTAAATATTAGTAGTAGCAGTCGTAACCCTGTTCCTACTAGGATAACTAGGACCCTTGTCCATAAAACTTCTATCTGAAAACTGGTGGAAGCCCACGTCCAAGCTACGTTCACTAGCTACATCTTTTCTCGAGATACGGGAAAATGCAGAAGCTTTTGATGGACTTTTCAAAAGAGCATCTACAATCGAAAATAAGAACGACATTACGATCAACAAACCACGATCATCCGCACGCCAACGCCATAGGGCAAATGCAGCAGCAGAAACTGTGGAACATCATTTCCGGATCAACATTTTTATACCTCTGATTGATCACATCATTAAATATCTCAATGAAAGATTCCCGGAAGATATTAAGCCAGTGCTTTACGAAATTTACTTGCTACCACGGTATTTTTGTAACTTGGCGGAAAACATTATAGGCTTTATTGCTAATGAGTTTATAAATGATATCTCATACCTTGATGACTTGCCTTAAAAAGTTCAAGAAGATGGAAAACTTTTACGTCTATTAAGCAGATTGGGTCAAAATTTACAATAGATCAAGCAATCAAACGCACGCTGTTCTACCCAAATATGAAACAAATACTATTGCTACTGTTATCCTTACCAGTTGGGTCTTGCAGTTCTGAGAGATAGTCACGTTTCTGCGCTACGGCTCCTTAAAACATGGAACAGTTCAACCGTGACGGAAAGCAGATTGTGTGGTCTGGTTATGCTACTCATACATAGAAGTGACAATGTTGGCAAAATTGAATGCATATGAGTGCTAAAGAAATGGGATTCGTCAGGGCACAGAAAATTCGCCTCAGCATTTGACAAAGCCTTACCGAATAAAATGTTCAAACAATTAAAGTTACGTTATAATAGTTTAAATTTGATAATTAAAGTTATGATTTATTAAGTATGCAATTAATTTTAAGGTTTGAAGATGTATTGTGTCTCTAAAGCGAAGTAGAAAAACCTCGATTGGGACAGCTTAAAAAGCAGGATAAACCACAAAAAATGAACAACTTCAGGGGGCCATTCATTTTAAGTTTGCAAATTATTTCCCTAAAATTAAGTAAAAATAGCTTTCGAAGTGTCATAAAGCAGGATAAAGTGTAAAAAAATCTAACTTTACCGTCACACCTTATCTAACTCTGGTTAATAACTGTATTCAATATATTCCAGGCGCTTATTTATTGAAATGTAACAAAAATCTAATAAAATGCTCCGCAGGGCGCAGCTTTATACGACCGCAGAGGTCGAACCCTGAACAGTTGGGGCAAGTATGGACACAACATTCAAGCTTGATACAGCTCTGAATTTGGATTGTGATTAAATATTTGACACAGCATAGGTTTCTGACACAGAATGAATGTGGTCTAAGAACTTAAAAATTTTAAATTGGACATTCACCTATTATGGTCCAATATCCAAAATCTAAATACATGGTTAGATTCAGCATATCAAAGAACCCCAAGAATTCAAAAATCTAAATACATGGTTAGATTCAGCATATCAAAGAACCCCATATATTCAATTTTTGTTGAAATCAAATAAAGTTTAATTTTGGACCCCGATTTGGACCAACTTGAAAACTGGGCCCATAATCAAAAATCTAAATACATGTTTAGATTCAGCATATCAAAGAACCCTAAAAATTCAATTTTTGTTAAAATCAAACTTAGTTTAATTTTGGACCCTTTGGACCTTTATGTAGACCAATTTGAAAACGGAACCAAAAATTAAGAATCTAAATACACGGTTAGAAACGGCATATCAAAGAACCCCAATAATTCAATTTTTGATGAAATCAAACAAAGTTAAATTTTGGACCCTTTGGACTTCAATGTGGACCAATTTAAAAAGGGGGCCCAAAATCCAAAAACTAAATACACGGTTAGATTCAGCATATTACAGAACCCCATATATTCAATTTTTGTTGAAATCAAACAAAGTTTAATTTTGGACCCCGATTTGGACCAACTAGAAAACTGGGCCCATAATCAAAAATCTAAATACATGGTTAGATTCAGCATATCAAAGAACCCCATATATTCAATTTTTGTTGAAATCAAACAAAGTTTAATTTTGGACCCCGATTTGGACCAACTAGAAAACTGGGCCCATAATCAAAAATCTAAATACATGGTTAGATTCAGCATATCAAAGAACCCCATATATTCAATTTTTGATGAAATCAAACAAAGTTTAATTTTGGACCCTTTTGATCTCAATGTGGACAAAGTTGATAACGGGGCCCAACAATCAAAAATCTAAATACATGGTAAGTTTCAGCATATCAAAGAACCCCCATATATTCAATTTTTGTTGAAATCAAACAAAGTTTAATTTTGGACCCCGATTTGGACCAACTTGAAAACTGGGCCCATAATCAAAAATCTAAATACATGGTTAGATTCAGCATATCAAAGAACCCCATATATTCAATTTTTGTTGAAATCAAACAAAGTTTAATTTTGGACCCCGATTTGGACCAACTTGAAAACTGGGCCCATAATCAAAAATCTAAATACATGGTTAGATTCAGCATATCAAAGAACCCCATATATTCAATTTTTGTTGAAATCAAACAAAGTTTAATTTTGGACCCTTTGGACCTTTATGTAGACCAATTTGAAAACAGAACCAAAAATTAAGAATCTAAATACACGGTTAGATTCGGCATATCAAAGAACCCCAATCATTCAATTTTTGATGAAATCAAACAAAGTTAAATTTTGGACCCTTTGGACCTCAATGTGGACCAATTTAAAAACGGGGCCCAAAATCCAAAAACTTAATACACGGTTAGATTCAGCATATTAAAGAACCCCAAGAATTCAAGAATAAATCCCCATTGAAATTGATCAAGAAATAAGCAATTTATACGAAGTATCTTCTTTTGCACAATACTGTGCAATTGATTATTTCTTGCTATTGTGCAATACTGTACAATTGACAATTTCTTGCTATTGCGCAATATTGTGCTATTGGATATTTCTTGCTATTGCGCAATACTGTGCAATTGAAGATTTCTTGCTATTGCGCAATACTGTGCAATTGAAGATTTCTTGCTATTGTGCAATACTGTGCAATTGAAAATTTCTTGCTATTGCACAATACTTATTATATAATAATTTACACATCCTGTTTGGTGTGTATCTCCTACCATATCATTATTATTTGCTTTTAAATATAAATCAGAAATAACCAACTTAAAATGGAAAATTTTAAAAGAAAAAAAAAAGGAAAAAAAGAAAAAAAAGAAAAAAAAAAAAAAAAAAAAAAATCCCCCCCCCCAAATTTTTTGAACCCCCTTATGATTCATCACCCCCAAACTCAATCTCAGCCTTCCCTTTGTGGTATGGTACCTTGCAGTACAATTTCAGAGAGATCCATACACTTGAACACAAGTTATTGTCTGGAAACTAGAAAAATGCTTATTTTTGGCCCCTTTTTGGCCCCCAATTCCTAAACGTTTCGGGCAATTACCCCCAAACTCAATTCCAGCTTTCCCTTTGTGATATGGAACCTTGTAGTACAATTTCAGAAATATCCAAATACTTACACACAAGTTATTGTCATGAAACTAGAAAAATGCTTGTTTTTTGCCCCTTTTTTGGCCCCTAATTCCTAACATTTTGAGGCAATTACCCCCAAAATCAATTACAGCCTTCCCTTTGTGATATGGAACCTTGTGGTACAATGTCAGAGAGATCCATACACTTACACACAAGTTATTGTCTGGAAGTTACAAAAATGCTTATTGTTGGCCCCTTTTTGGCCCCTTATTCCTTAACTGTTGGTACCATAACCCCCAAAATCAATCCCAACCTTCCTTTCATGGTATTGAACCTTATGGTAAAATTTCATGGAGATCCATTCACTTAAACTAAAGTTAGAGTGCGAAAACCAATGTGTCTTCGGACGACGCCAGACGACGCCGGACGACGACGACGACGACGACGACGACGACGCCAACGTCATACCAATATACGACCAAAAAATTTTCAATTTTTGCGGTCGTATAAAAAGTTGTGGGTTCTGGCGAGGTACATTGCATACAGCATGTACAGGGAAAACTTCCGAAAAAACATAATTTTCTGCATAAAAATTGGTCCAAAATATTTTCGCCTCGCTCTGTTCGGTGAAATTTTTTTTTCGTCGATTGATACTTTACTGCCTCCACTTACAGTGCAGTTAATTTACGGCCCTGGTTACAATTAAAATAGAAATACTTAACATGTAAGTGATATTCAAAGACAATGAACCATGACTGATGGTACAGAGCTGATCAATCTCCATGGAAATGAGATGTGCCAATGCTTATACAACTGCTTACCAAATACCATTGACTTTTCATAAGTCTTTTCCTTTAAACAAATCTTAACACAAATTCAATTTCTAAGTCAATTAACCATAATGAGGGGGTGGGGTTATATAATATCCATGGAAATGAAGCTTTTAAATACCAATACGTTTGCATACCAAATAGCTTTAACTTAAGATTACTGGTAATTTACTGACATAATCATAATAATTGCAAACTAATTCATGTAAACTAAGTAAAGTTTCAAAGTCAATAGATCATGCATATGACTGAGGGGTAAGGACCAAATATCCTCTATGGAAATGAGACGTATTAATGCTTCTACACCTGGATGCCAATTATCATTGACCTATCACTATTGGTTTTCCTAATACTAACCTAATCAAAAGCTAGTAAATGAAATTTCAAAGTAACATAAGTTTCCAAGTAAAAAGAGCATGATTGAGGGGGCAGGGCCAAATAATCTCAATGGAAATTAGAAATGACAAAGTTTATACAACTGCACACCAAATATCATTGACCTACCACTAGTCATGCTAGTGGTTCCCCCTAAACTGACCTAATCACAAACTTATACATGTAAGTAAAACTATGCAAAGTTTCAAGGTCAATAGACCATGACTAAGGGGGTGGGGCAAAATATTCTCCATGGTAATAAGACGTGCCTATGCTAACACAGCTGCTTACCACATATCATTGACCTACCATAAACTAGACCTTATCACAAAATCACACTCTAATACATTGTTTATGACACCAAAACAGCATGTTCGAATCCCGGCGAGGGAAGAATAAAAAATTTGAGAAAGCAAATTTACAGATCTAACATTGTTGGGCTGATGTTTAGACGAGTTGTATATACAGAATGTACACAGCCATGTATCACCATCACTGCTGGTGATCCGATGGATAAATCTGTTGTAGAGTTGTCACTGGTTCAGACGTACTTATATATATACATATATATATATATATATATGTATACTCTTTTTGACTCTGTCAAGGCAAGACAAAAATTGCAACAAATTAAATACAAATACTTTGTCCATCTTTTTTTAAATATTTTTATATTCTTCATTTCTTAAATATATCAATGCTGCGTTCACACATAATTCAAATTCAATTCGCAATTAATTGATTTGAATTAGTTTAATACGCATTCGAAACATTTAACATGTTTAATGTCCGTAAGTAAATTCTACTTTGAATTGCAATACGCGTCAAAATCGCTTTTCTGTCCAAATGACGTTAACTTTTAATTCAAATTATCAATTAATTCATTATAGTTTAATTTGAATTACAATTTAGAAAGTGTCCACACCAAAGTTTAATCAAATTAATCAAATTAACTTATTTGTATTAACAAAAAACGTATTTCTAATGAAAATTGGATAATGCAAATTAGCCAATTTGAATTAGATTCGAATTAAAAAAAGAAGAATGTGTGAATGCGAATAGCGAATTGGACTGGCATTAGATTTGAATTCAATTCGAAATTAAAAAAGAAGATTGTGTGAACTCGGTTTGCATTCAATTCAAATTAAACGTACGTGTGAACAAGGCATTAAACAAGTGACAAATATGCATTCAGTAAATAATAAAATTGAAAAGAATCCACAATCAAAATACTGCTGCTTAATTATGGTAATAAGTAATTCTCCTTGGTACAATTTAACCTTACTCTTGGATTGTTAAGAATACAAACTTAAATATTTCATGTTTCTGCACAATGCATCAATATCATGAATTCCAACTGTCTTTAAGACTTTATATATAACTTCATGCAAAAAGTTTCTGATAACTAGGCATACTTCTTAGTGCACAATAATATATATCTCCTTTTATAGTACAAAATGTAACAGTTACACAGATTCTGACATATGATCACATATCATGATCATAGTTCTGAAAGTATCGTTAAACAGTCTCTAAAAATTGCTAGACCGATAGGCACACTTAATAACAAATAATATTCATGTGTTGTAACTGCTGGCAAGTTTATAATAATTCCTGTCAGAAAGCTGAACCAAAACTTGTGGGACTAGTCGACATGATGACCCCTGGCATAAACAATCTTCAAAATTGATCATATATGTAGATATACATGTAAATATCTTCATAACATCATAGTAGTCTAAGAGTTTCATTGCTGTTATGGAATTATTGTGGTGAATATACAATCCAGTTGCTACAGAGAATCATGTATTGTACATGTACATGTATGCCTTGCCTCTTCTAAGATCTAGTATTAGCCATTCCCAAAGATTGGAATCAAGCTGAAATAAAAACAAATACAAATAATTTGCTTATATTGACAAATACAATGTAGCAAAAAAGCTTCATGTCTAAAATATTTATGTATTAGTTTTGTCCATGTTCATTGATGCTGTGATAACTCATGCTTATATTCTCTGTTATAAAAAAAAAGATGTGGTGTGATTGCCAATGATTGAGACAACTCTTCACAAGAGACCGAATGACACGATAGGTTTTAAGAATCAAATTTTCCAAGCATATATATACTTGTCTGTTATTTTTCAAAGCTTTTTTGAATGACAACTGCTAAGGTGTTATGTCCTTGCCTTGCCAGGCTTTTGTTCAGAATAACATGTCTACCTGTGTATGCAAATTGTAAAGAAATATAATAAGAAGATGTGGAACGAGTGCCAATGAGATAACTCTCCTTCAAAGTCACAATTTGCCAAAATTAAACCATAATAGGACAATAAGAGCTATGGTTGTGCAGCTAGGTCTGAATGAATTAAAGGTTTGAACATAATTTCCAACAAAAGTATGATAAAGACATAATCTTTCAATCCGTTCAATTAAGGTCTGGAGCTGGCATGTCAGTTAACTGCTACATGTAGTAGTCCTTTGTTAATTTATGTATCATTGTCATTTTGTTTAGTTTCTTTTGTTACCTATTCTGACATTGGACTCAGATTTCTTTTGAACTGAGTTTTACTCTGCGTATTATTGTGTGTTTGTTTTTTCTACATTGGCTAGAGTAATAGGGGGATGGTTGAGATCTCAAAAAACATGTTTAACCCCGTCGCATTTTTGCGCCTGTCCCAAGTCAGGAGCCTCTGGCCTTTGTTAGTCTTGTATGATTTTTAATTTTAGGCAAAAAAAAAAATATATGTCTGTGTACGGTTACCCGACCAACCTTACTTTTGAGCGCTGACCCTAAGTCATTTTATTTCCGTCGTAAAGTGAAAAATAAACTGAACTTGTGTCAAAAGCGAAGTTAGTGTTGCAAATAATATAAATCAATAGCCTGATACATCCCAATGTTCACAATCGTGAATATGACAGCTGTTTTAAGGAAATTCGCAACTTGTGTGATGAAATAAACACTTTGCCGCCATTTTTTCCCAACCAATTACCAAGGGAAATAATCCAATCATTAAAAATACGGGTAAACTCAGCCCATCATCAACTCAGACCACAACAAGACGAAACGGCATGACTCAAAATCATGTCACAAAAAATAAAATGAAAAAATAAAATAAAATGGAAATACCCACCTACATACCCTATTTTTTTATAGTATGTAACCTTAAACAGATGAATACTTTTTTTTGGCCTTAGTTTCTTGTGTATATTTCTGAGTTAAGTATGACGTCCATTATCACTGAACTACATGTAGTATACATTTTTATTTAGGGGCCAGCTGAAGCACCCCTCCAGATGTGGGAGTTTCTCGCTGCATTGGATTTGAAGACCAATTGGTGGCCTTCGGCTGTTGTCTGCTCTTTGGTCAAGTTGTTGTCTCTTTGACACTTTCCCCATTTCCATTCTCAATTTTATTTGAAATTGTAAGTGAGTTAAAATATCTTGATTACGGTTTCACTGTCTTCCATAGTCCGAGATTACTCAGACGTGCAACGGCTGTTTTGCCAGACACGACCCAAGTTTGTCTGGCAAAACAGCCATTTGACGTCAGAGTAATCTCAGACTATGTCTTCCATTGCTAATATCATAATAAAAATAACATATATTTGTGCTTTAAAAAATTGTTATAGGAATTAAGAAAAAAAAAACTGTAACTTGTTGAAAACGTAAAGACTATAAAGTACAACGTTACCTTTTTTCGTATTAATTTGCATTATTTTCATGGAAAAGTCGTTTACCAGCATCAAGTTGCTGAAGAAAATGCATAGAAATGATTCTAGAACACTTTACGAGTGTTTAAATATGAAATAAAATGCTCTGGTGGGTGCAGCTTGATATGACCGCAGAGGTCGAACACTGAACAGTTGGGGCAAGTATGGACACAACATTCAAGCTTGATACAGCTCTGAATTTGGATTGTGATTAAATATTTGACACAGCATAGGTTTCTGACACAGAATGAATGTGGT